TCTCCATTTCATTGTTTATATTTTATCTGAATTTTTTTTTTGTTTTTTGTTTTTTTATAATCCCAGTGCCTATTGCATGCTCAGATGTTCTGGTGAGGATCCCAGAGTGATTTGGTTCAGAGTTTCTTACATTGTTTTTCTTCATGGTTTCTTTGCATGTACTGAGGGTCAAATATGCTTGTTTTAGCTCTGTTTCATGTTTTACCTAAATTGTTATTGACCTTATTTAATTGTGTGATTTGTGATTGATGATGAGTAGGGTTTATATAGGATTGTTCTATGGAAAGTCCTTTAAGGCCTACTTGTGATACCGGCCTTTTATAAAAAAAACTTTTTGGACTTGAATAGAGCTAGGGCTGTGGCGGTAAAGTAATTTCCACCGTGGCAATATGTTGGGGCTCAACATGATTGCTTTTTTCATTAATTAAGTAATTTGTTGCCATTATATAATTTTAAGAGAGATGAAGCTAGCTGATGCTTGCTAGTCAACATTGCCAAGCAAACTCTTTATTGTAGTTAAACCGTGTGTTTTTCAGACGTAGCTATATCATCACCTTCAGGGCACGTCTATCGAGTCAATTTACATACCGCAGCAGCGCACGCACGCACACACACTCACTCACGCGCGCTGGTGCGGAGCGGGCTTTCCACAACTAACCACTGCACTGTAGTAACGTTATACGTACCTGAATTTCCACAGAAAGCAACATGAAAAACAGCTGCAGGCTTCCGACACACTACGCTCCTTAGTTAGTGAGCTTCAAATGAGGCTTACTTTACACAGTTTCTCTGGACTGTCCCTCAGGATCACAACGTTAGTCCAACATCGCCAAGCCTGCTAGCCACATTACCCGCGCAATATGCTAACGCCAAGTTAGCTAACCTTTAAAATAAACAGTAAAACAACACAAAACACTGCAACACTTACAGCTTCAGAGTTTGTAGTCGGGTCACGTACAGCCCATGGCGATTCGTCCTTGAACCGTTACAGAGCTTGTTACGGTTGTGGAACTTTTGAAGTACTCATTTATTAATTTAACACACCCTGAAGTGTACAGTATGAACATTGCGGTTGTTGCGGTGCTTGCCATCATCCACAGTAGGCTTCAATTTTGCGGTTATTGCGACAGCCCTAAATAGAGCACCATAAAGTGGTTCCTCCTAGCTTCAGTTATGTGGAGGTATGACCGCTCCCTGTGTTTTATTTTGTTCCTCAGTATAAAATTATTGAATACATATGTTGATGTCCAGGATATGACTTTTGTCATCTTCTGCAGACTCACAGCAGTGGGATGTGTGTTTTCATACAGTATAATAGAATACACACATTCCTTGTACATTATGTTGTGTTTATCAGGCAGCAAGTCACCTTGGAACAAGACTCAAGACTCTACAATCATGCTTGCAGCTCTGTGAGGCTGTACATAGACATGACAGTGATTTGATAACATGCTGATATTTAGCTGGTATAATGTTTACCATGTTCACCATCGAAGATTAGCATGTGAGCAAGCTAACATTAGCACTAAACCCAAATTACAGCTGACACTAATGAGAAATGTTACTTATGTCACATTATGACCAAAGTCATTTTGTGTGTTGGATGTTTCACTGGATATGTGAAAATTTGACCTGCTAGTGGCGCTACTTGAAAATTCAAGGAATCACCAAAATCTTTAGTCTTCATCCTCTCCAAGATGATGTCCTCAAATGTCGTGTTTTGTCCACAACCCAAAGATATTCACTTTACTGTTAGAGGATTAATGAAACCAGAAAGTATTTACGCTGGAATTACAGGAGTAAAAGCATTACTACTCCTACCGAATAACAAAATAAAGGAATAAATGAATGACTTCATGAATTAACAAATCAATGCAAAACAGAATACAATGTTAAAGACAATTATTTGGCTTTTGAAAGCGTGGTCGTTTGAGAAACCAAACCATAAAAATTTTGGACAGCAGTCAGATAACTTAGCACTACATATTATGACTGATGATTTATAAAAAGAAAAAAAGAATATGTATGTGTAAAATCCCGTAAAGCAGAACACAGCTGTCCACTTTACTGACACACGCGTACACACGTATGCACCTCTCGGTAAATGTCGGACACACCAGGATTCATCTTCAATGCCTGTTAGAAGGCAGGGCTTTGTTCTACCCTGAACAAGTCAATGTCCTGAAACTGTGCCCAACTTTTCCTGGAAGCTAATATTTCTGTCTCTCTCCCCCGCTCTTTCACTATCTGTGGTGTGCGATTAAGGCAATTATGCAGCCTATTCACAACACCACAGCCCAACACTAAAAAGCAAGGAAAATATAATTCATAGAGCAAAGCAAGCTAAATTTAGAGCGATAAAGAGAGATGACTGATGAAAAGCTTCCCGTGGTAGAAGGTGGCAAAAGTCGATTGATCGATACAGCATTCAGACTGGACTGGAACCAAAGCATGTACATTACAGCATCATGGACTACTTTTATTGCACTACTCCGCTGGTTTTACCTACGTTAATTACTCACTTTCTTCCAGTGGCTGATTAATTTGTACCCCTACGTGGGATGTTCCCGAGATTAGCTTCATTTGTGCACTGTGGAAGAAGAGAAATATTGAGCCGCACTGAGATGGACTGGCCTGACTTAGGTCCAGCTGATGGGGCCAAAAAATGAACTGGACAAATCTCTTTTTTTTTATGTCTCAGTTTTTTTGGAACTGAGGCATGACATATATATTTTTTTTTTAAATAAAAAAAGAAGCAAAGCCGTTGTGCTCCTCTCTGCTTGCAATACGCAGTCCATCCACATTAGTTCTGATCACTGGCTGCCTCGAGGCTGCCTCTCTCCCTCCTTCCCTCTCTTTGTTTACCACGTAGAGGTTGATTTATGTCGGCTGCATTTGGAAGTTGGGTGGCGTGGGCGAGATACAGCAGCTGAAGGGGAAAGAGAGGGGAGACGAGCAGGAGGGAGGAGAAGAAGGGGAAGCGAAATGAGTAAGGCCAAATCGGGGGGGGGAGAGAGAGAAAGAGAGAGAGAGAGAGAGAGAGAGAGATGAGCAGAGAGGAGGAAACAAGACTAAGTCTTGGATGAGAATAGCAAGTAAGGAAAGAGATTTCAGGCTGGAGGAGGAGAAAGGTTGTGCGAGGAGACAGGGAGAGGTGTTGGACTGGCCTCAGGTGTCTCACTCCGATTTGTATCTCTTATGATGCTTCTTCATGTCAGAACACAAGGTCTCACGCTGCAGTCCCTCTGGCTCCATCGCCGCTGTTCTACGTAGCTCCCTCTCATTATGTTTAACTTGCTACATTTTAGTCTTATCACAGACAGTCATGGTCAGGATAGGTTAGGTCAGAGCTTATTACAGTTCAGAAAACTTAAATGGTTCCTTTGGGAAAATAGGGCCGTTGCAGCTACAGTATTGTAAACTGAAGCAAATGAGGGTTAAGTTTACAGACACAGCTGACAATTCAATCAGTTGCATTGAGCAGAAAGTCATGAATGAGCAAAGCTGTCTTGTTCACTAAATGTTTAGAAGGGGCAGCAATAAAACAGTGTATTTATGAAACAGAGATGTGAGTTGAACCATGTGCCTTATTAAAAAAATAATTATAAAGATCAGTTTTTTAAAAATCTAGATATGCAGATATGCAAGGCCGAGCACGAGAGAGTGACCAGGGTCAGACACAAGCAGGGATGGGGGTTAAAATGTACACTTTCCTAATTTATTTTCTTTCTTAATCCTTTCTTAATTTGTTTTGTGTCCCTGCGGACCGCCATGGGTGATGCACATGAGGCTGTGCCAGGGCAGTTTTTCCCAGTTTGTTGAGAACGAGGAGGAGGGACAACCAAGTAACTTGCCAAAAGCATGACAAAGTCCACTCAGCCGGCAGTTGAAGAAAATGTTGACTGGGGTTGCACGATATTGACAGAATGTGATATTGATCATGAATATTGCAATAACGATATTCATTTTGATATTCTTAAACATATGTAAAAACACAAGTTGATGGGCCCTGTGTGTGATATGTTCCCCTTTGATCTCTGCTGTTTTCGTTGTCTCGTTGAGCCTGATATCGTCATACTTTTTTGTCCTTGCATTCCTTTCACTCCTCTGAATCGCATCGCTTTATTTAAACACAGCCAATGGACACATCGGTCCACAAAATAAATGGAATATTGCATCCTTTCCACAACATTTTTGATATGATTTTTTGTCAATATATTGTGCACCCCTAATGTTGACCTCACAAACCAATGCATCTTCAAAAATGTGAAAACAATCCTTTGTGCGCCAAAATGCAATATAAAATACAAATCTATTGCCACAGCAGCTCTGTGAGGCTCCTCTTTGGTGGTGCTTGGGGATAAATGCTAACACTTGCAACGACAATGCGAACATGCTGATGTGTGACAAGAATAATGTTTACTATGTTCACCATCTTAATTTAGCATGTTTGCACACTTTAGCTCTTTAGGAATGTCATCAGTATGGGTGATATCTGGTCATATTAAAGAAAGTTTGACTTGATGTTGGATTACAAGTTAAGAGATCATTAAAATTATTACAGTTCATCCTGAGTGGCAGTTCATTGAATAGTTATTAATACATTTCATTACTAAACCACAGACGTGAACCTCATGGCAGTGCGAGAAAAAAAGTCTTTAGAAAGAAAGAAAGTGCATTTCTTTATTTTTTAAGTGTCATGGCAATCCGTAGAGTCTTTTTTTAATTTTATTTTTTATAAAAATGTCAACCTCATGGTGGGACTCAAAGTAAGGAAATCACCAAAGTCAGTACGATTCATCCTCTGGGGATCATTATTGTTTTTACAAAACTTCATGACCATCCATCCAACAGTTAAGCGACCAAAATCTTAAAATACAGAACTCCTGGGCACAATACCTTTTGAGATGCTCATAAATTATCCTGATGTGGTTATGTGTGGAGATAAACAGCTTTTAATGAGATTAAAAATGGTCTTTTCTCTCCCTTCCTTCCTGCAGCCGGTCAGTTGAGCCAGTCAGCTCACTTCTCCCTCCAGCTGCCCTACACTGTGCTGGGCCTCGGACGCAGCGCCAACTTCCTGGACCATCTTTTTGTTGGCATCCCCCGGCCGCTTGGAGAGACGGTGAGGAAATATGAGAGGGTTTTATTACTTTGACACTTCACAGCACTCCTGTAGGAATAGCCACAGGCTGTACAGTCTCTCAGAATATTTGAGGGAGATACAGTTATAGTGGTGTGTCTGAGAGCTATGGCAGAAAGGGAAATTGAAGTGGGTGTGCTGAACAACCACAGATTTAAAACCCCTTCAACCCTCTGGGTGCATATTGCATTAAAAGTCTCTTAGAACATGTATAAAACCACTCCTGTGCCTAATTAAGTCATTTCTGAGCACCCTAACCTGTCCTGAATATAACAGTGTTTGGCATGCGTGGCTGAGACATTTAATGTGTATGCATTTAAAAGGGGGTGAGAGACAGGCAAAAATAGCCTCAGGATCAGGATGTTAAGAACCAGAAAACTTTCCAAGAAAAATATCAAATGATGGACTAATTCATGGTAAGTGCAGTTGAAGCACTTCTAAAGTCATAAGCAGAGAGCAAAATGTTTTTTTTTTTTTTACCTACTGCTTAGGCTTGACTTTGTAATGGACTGGATGTGACGCATTTATTCTGAGGATTATGAGACTTGTTTGAAGGGTGTATTTCCTCACGTTTTTTCTTATCGAATTAGAAATGGTGAACAAAAACAGAAGCGTCTCACTTAAAAATACATTTAATTCTTTGTTTGGGTGTTTTTTTTCATTCTTATTTTCATATGTAACAAAATATGTGATAACTAGTGTTTATATCAGTCGTCAAATGACTATGTCTTCAAAGTGGTTGCAAATGAGGGAAGCCCATAACAAGAGTATATCTGTAGTTCTTTTCTTTTTACTTGTTTGTGAAATGATTGATCCAGATGTGTTAGCTTAACGCAAAAAACAATTAAGACTTACACAATGCTAATCAGTTCTTCATTCTCCCCAATTTTCTATTGGAAGTCTTTGGTTTGCTTTTGTATTTATGGATCCTGTTAATTCTCTTAAACACGGGCAGGTGGGCATTTGTTTTTGTTGCAGCATTTTCAGTTTCACTTACTTGAATTCTCACTATAAGACTAAATCCTGCTCAGTGAAGATAAGTCTTTCCTCAGGAGTTCTAAACAATGTTTTGATAGCAGTCACTTTTGAAGAAGCATATTTTGCAGTGCTCATTAGAAACAGTCCAATTGTGGCAGGATAAATATGGCATACTGAGGCGAGATTGAGCAGTAAAATCCTTTTTCTTTCTTGCCCATCTAGTGATTAAAGAGAGGGAGAGACATTGGGAGTTGAAATATCTAATATACAGTATTTTATGACAGATAGAGTCCACGTATCACGTATAATGCATGGAATGATTGATTCCATCGCCTATGGGATTGATAAAGGTACAGCGAGCTCCCCACTGGAACAGAAATATCAAACCTTTGCTTTACTTTGAGCTTCAAACTCATTTTTGTTAAACAAACCGTGAGAGTAGAGGACGTGTGCATGCCTCTCTGGATGCAGCCCATGTGCGCCTCCTGTCATTCTACAAGCTAGCGTAACATTAATATAGTAAATAATTGATTGGGTTTATGTTTGCAATGTATTCGTCAGCCACATTTCTACACTACATATCTGCAAAATGTCAGCACTCCTCAGTTCAGCTCTCTCGCTGTCTCTGTTTTCACTCTCTCTCTCTCTCTCACTTGTCGCACTGAATATTAGGCACGACAGGGTCTTTTTTTTCCCCCACGTCCCGTGTGGTACTGAGATCTTTGTCAAGCAGCTGATTAGAATTGTAGATGGTTCGGTCCGCGACTCAGAAGCTGTAGTGCACCGAGAACACACATCTCAAACAAGCTGCTTTGTTGTCCCCTTTTCCGCACTCTCCTTTTCCTATGCAAAGAAATGTTATCTTTTTTTTTTTTTTTTTCATTTTTCCTCCTCCTCGCCCATTCCGTCTACAAAGTGAATTAATGAATGCCTAAAGATGCAGCCCATTATGCAGAGTATTTTTTGTACCCAGAGGGACTAGGGAGTGAAGTAACTACCTGTAATGAGGAGGAGAAGCTTTAGAAAGAGGAGAGGGTTTAGAAATCCTGACCTGTACACCACCCTGCTTAGTCAGCAGGTTTGGATCATTCTGTTGGTCAACAGTCTTTATCTATCCCTCTCTCATTTTTGTTTTCTCTCTCAGTCTTTATATCTGGTCTGCCTTCCATTTCCACTGCTATGCCCTTTACAATTTTCTCTTCCACAATGATAGCTTCTCCCCACTGTTTCACAGAAGGAGAGGTTTTGTAAAATCTACTTGGATATCTTCCATCTTCTGTCCAATCATTCCCCTCTCTTATTCACCACCTCCCTGCCTTTCTTTTTGAGTCTCTCTCCTCCTGTTCACTTATCTTCCACCCAGGGGATTCCCTTTGCTGCTCAAAGTGGTTTGCTTCACTAATCAATCCCGTACTTGTCACTCTCTCAGTCTCCCTCACCCGCCATCTCTGTATCTGTGTCCCTCGCTCTCTCGAAGTGTGCCAGTTTCCCTGGCTTTGAACCAGAGTGTCTCTCTTTCTCTATGAAGACTTGGGAACACTTTTCTTTTCCAAACAGCCAGATCAGATCTGCTCCCAGGCAGCAGTAGTAGTGGAGGCTGACTCGTCTCCAGCTCTGCTCCCCTGCCGGTTGCCGCACCGACGGCGGCGCTTTCCAAGAGCTAAGCGACAATGGCTGGCGGCGAGAATGTGCTCGTTATGTAAAAAGCAATGCCGTTGTCGCGCGTTTACACAAAATAGCTGCGAGATGTGTTTCCTCTCAATTTATGAGGAACAATTAAAGAACTGGAAATGTTAATTCCTCACAGCTACACGCATGGCTAAAGCTTTTAAATCATAAATATGATGCCCCCTCCCCTATTTATATCTCTGAACTCTCAATCCCCAGTGAGCCTGAGCAGAACCTTGGGTCCCTGAGCAGGGGCTAAATCAAGACACAATGCAAAATTGGGAAAAGTAGGAATAAGAAAGCCGACAGAAACTGATGATGATGCTGGGCTCCTCCAGAAATCACTGCACTGTTGTATGCAGATGCTGGATGTTTCAGTTTTATGCCAGATGCCAGTGGGTGTTGGGCCTTAAGGTGGCAAACTACTAAAAATGAAACTTGAACCTGTGAAGTCAAACTCCTGTCAAACACAGTGCTGCGAGCAAAGTTTTTTTAAAATCACTACAATTTGAGTTCTGATAGTTTAACTATGTGTGTTAATAGTCACTGTCTTCCCAGTTTAATACCCATTTGCCCAAATCGTCTGAAAGAGGAATTAACAAAGGATATAAACCTGAAACATGCATGCTAAATGATGTGTGAAAACCATAATTATTTATGTAACAGGGTTGACTAGGTGCAGGCAAATGTGTTGGTGAAGGGTGAACCCTCGAGCTCTGACGTCCCAGTGATGTCTCAGTCTGAATTAAAGAATACTTCAACTGTCTTTGAAGACTTCACGCAACTCTCAGGTGCAGCAGATTCTTGATGTGACTTTGGGTTTGTACCTTCTTTAAAAAGCCCTCTTTCAGCTGCATGGTCCTGCCTGCAATCTCAAATAGCTGATTTCAGTCACTCTGGCTAATTAGACCTATAATCAGGCGGAAGTTTGGCACTACATGTGTGCAGTGCTTTTATCCAAAGCTCAAACTGCTTCTCTTGTGTAATCCACTGTCATCACTGAGGGTTTTCTTTTTTTTTATTAGTGTAAGACAGTAATCGACAGTTAGTGAGTTGGTGTGTAGGTAGGTGTGTACAACCCTATTGCATGAGATTGTGTTGTAGAGCGTCCTGTTCTTTCATCTTAATTTTTTACATTTATCTTCACTTGGCCCTACCCGCTGTGATCTGGCCACAGAATCACTTGTCTTTCACTTCTTATAACCTGTTTCTGCAGATGTGATTTCTGTGTCATGAATTCTTCAAAGCGGACTTCAGTGCAGCTACGAAGAGTTAAATACAGAATGAGAAAAGACTGTATATTTTACAGAGACTGAGATTATTACTTGTTCTGCGGATGGCTGAACTCTCACACACCGCCGCAGAAATACTAACAACACATACAAATATACACACCCACATGCACACAGACATAAATAGGCTAGGAAATCTGTGTTACTCCCCACAGTGAGAGTAATTTATTTCAAGTACCAGTTTGTCTGTGTCTTAAATGCCCAGCTTAAAATAGCCATACCACAGTAGCTAAGGAAAACCATGGGACCCTGTTATTCTGCCCCAGAGGACTTAACATACATAGTGTGTCTGTGTGTCATTATGGAAATCCGCATGTGCTGCATAGATCGTCACCATAATGTATTACCATGTATGTGCAAACCCACTTTATGCGTTTTCTGTGTCTTTCCAGGACGTGAGGAAGCAGGAGTGGACTGCCATCATTCCCAACTCTCAGCTCATTGTCATCCCCTACCCCCACAACAAACCCAGCAGGTACATAAACACCCGTACAATACTTGCCATTTCCTTTGTTGACATAATAGTAATGTGTGGGGAGACCCGTTGACTTTTGTTGTTATGGATACCATTCAACACTTCAACCACCTCTTCTGATGCCACTTAACATATCAAGTCAATGTTACCTCAGCTTTATACAGGTAGTGTATCTGGGGTGTGTCTTTACAAAACGATGCCCAGATGTGAGTTTGCAAACTCTCTGTTTACACACACACACACACACACACACTCACACACACACACACTCACACACTCACACACTCACACTCACAAGGCAGCATGTGTTCTCATGTTTGATGACGTTGTTCATGTAGCTCAAACCCCAGGAGGAGCTCCAGATGGCTGTTCAACACACACACGCACACACACACACACACACACACACACTCATCCATATAGCTACATAACACTTGTGTACTTGCCAGTTTTCCTAGACATGCCAGCACAGACACACACCTACATACGCACCATTAGTGAAATGAGATCCAACAACAACAACAAAAAAAAAAACAGGTGCCTTGGCATTCTTCTCACATACAGTCTAAACTTGTGAGATGATACATTAAATAGATCAAAGTGTTCTTGGAAACCAGAAACCGAGCAGTGCTTCTTCTGAAAGAGATGTTCATTTATTTATTTTCACTTAATTAGGACACAATCTCTGCTGAAGTGTACCATTTGGTAATTACATTGTTTTTCTGTCAAATAAAACTACGATGAAACATAAAACAGCCAACTCTCTTTTTTCATACACACTGTCTCTCTCTCTCTCTTTAGTTGGAGCGCCAAGTTGTACCTGACTCCTAGCAACAGCGTGTTGCTGACGGCCATCGCTCTGATCGGAGTGTGCGTCTTCATCCTCGTCATTATTGGTATACTCCACTGGCAAGAGAAGGTCAGGACACGTTAACGTTGGCCTCTTCCTTGTGATTTATTTCTATAGAGTGCGTGTGTGTGCGTGTGTGTGCGTGTGTGTGTGTGTGTGTGTGTGTGTGTGTGTGCGTGCGTGCGTGCGTGCATGTAAGAGAGAGAGCAGATTTGTCACAACCACCAGCAGATGGGTCTCCATGTCCCTGTCCTGTAGTCCTCTAGCCTCCTACTGAGACACACATACACACTCTCTCTCTCTCTCTCTCTCTCTCTCTCTCTCTCTCTCTCTCTCTCTCTCTCTCTCTCTCTCTCTCTCTCTCTCTCTCTCTCTTTTCCCGGGCCACAACCTGGAGGACGTTCAGCTGTAATTGCCTGCTTCTGTCCTTTCAGTATGGCAGATCTGCTGTTCATTACTGCTGTAAATACGCCCTCCAGGCAGGCGATGCTTGTTTTTCACGTGTGTTTTGTGCTTCAGTTCCTCCTGGTCCGGTTGTTTTTTAAGTCACACACACAGTATGTTAACCTAACATAACATGATTGAGGATACACAGACACAAACATTATTTAACAGTAATTCTCGCAAGTTAGCTTATTTAATTTTTTTTTTTTCTTGGGATTGTTTCCTTTTTCATCTACACACACTGTGGTGACGCTGTCTGCTGGGCTGAGCGGTGCAGTAAGTTGCTGGCATCTTCTCCAAGCCATCTGCCAATGCGACTGTGTGCGCTTAAAGTGTGTCTATGTGTGTGTGTGGCTACATGCAGGATGGCATGTGTGCATGGTTACACACACAGAAGTGCTCAAATTGCCCTCTTTTTGGGAAACATGGGCATGAGCATCCGATTTATCTTAACCGACGCAGCATTCTCAGGTGGACGGGGGCAGACATCTGTGTGGGGTGACGGCTATGTGGAGCCATGTGAGGGTTAAGAAACAAAAGAGTTATAGGAAAGTAGGAAAATGCAAATAAAAATGTATTTCTATTATATTATTTCATAGTTGCAGCAGTTGCATCTTCACATGAGCAAAATTATGGATTTGAATCCAAAAAGAAGCATTGTATGTGGCAGTTGAAATCCTTTTCCTTTAGTGTTATCCTCAATATATATTTTCTGAAAAATGGAATGATGCTATAGGTTTATCTGAAAGCCAACAATTTAAATTATTCTAACTTAATGTTACCGCTGCTGCTATTGACAGAAGCTCTGGTCAGGGGTGTTACTGTCACTCCTCTCTTTACGATTTAGCTGCACAGACTTTCAGCTTTTTATTAAAAAAAAAATACAGAATTTTCTAACACAATCTATCATCTTTTCTTCTGATGAGTCAACCAGGAGAGGCCTCTCCAAGTCACGGACGTTTGCCAACTGTGAGTCACGTCTCATTGTCTATGCAGGAAAGTGAATGGGACTTTTACCTTGGGTTTCCGACCTCTTCGCCTGAAATGAACCTGAACACAGTCCATGTAGGCGTGTGCCTATGATCATGGGTGAAATCTAGGGCTGGACAATAAAACAATAACAATAATTATCGCGATATAATTTTTTCAATAACAATATAACAAATGTTCAAAGCATATTCAATAAATGTTTTTTATTCACTTGAATCATACACAACTTAGGACTTAATTTTTTATTAAGATGTTTATTTTGTTGAGGGAAAAGGACCGAAAAAAGCTTTTACTTAATTTCTATTTCAAGTGTTGACCATAAAGAAGAGTTTAAACCACAATTAACCATCAGGTTTCTTCAACTTTCACTCAGCGGCAAAAATCTAGCTTGAAACTGGAAAAAATTTACGATTTGATACTTATCTTGATAATCATCAATATTGAAAGATATGAAGCTTTTTATCGTGCTAACATTTTTGGACATATCGTCCAGACCTAGTGACATCATATTTGGTCCATAAACAGGAGAAGTGCATCAAAGTGCATGGGGAGCTGGTATGTGGGAGGTCTTTACCCAAAATGTGCCTGTTTAATTGTGAAACACTTTACAGTGACGAGAAGAGATGAGAAGAGGACCAATGAGCTAGCAATGAGGTACATTATGAAAGCACATAAAGTAAGGTATTTGGAAAAAGCCTTACAATACAACTCTGTTTAACAACTTCATTAAGAAATCCTAAATAAAAATGTAAAAAAATATAAAAAAATAAAAACACTGAGTTTTAGTTCATGGGTCAGTCATGTTGATTAGTTACGTTGTAGGTAACAGATGTGCTCAGGTGGTCAGATCGGTTCAGGGTCCTGCGTCTGCCGGTAACGTCACATAACGTGATTGGCTGTACGTTTGTATGATGACCTGGTAGATTGTGATAGGTTGTATGTCGTTTAGTGTTTACAGACATACATACCAACAACGATGGAGAACTCAGACGTTAAATAATCATATTTAAGGGCTCTGGGAGAACTTATACAATGAAAAACATTACATTTATTCATTTAGCTGACGCTTTTATCTAAAGCAACTTACAATTGCTATACATGTCAGAGGTCGCACGCCTCTGGAGCAACTAGGAGTTAAGTGTCTTGCTCAGGGACACATTCAGAATCAGAAATACTACTACTGATCCCCGAGGGCAAATTCTTTTGTCACAATTGCACACTTGTCAAAGGTAGATAGATAAAGAGTATATAAATATAATAGTATAAATATAAAGACAAATATAAAGGAGTGTGGGGATGTACAATATTTACATTATTAAGAATTATTATGGTGAACCAAAAAGGACAAGTGAATAAATAGCAGCAGAGAATATTGCACATTAATTATTAAACAGGTAATATTGGACAGAAAATTGGTAATGAGGTCTAGTTTAATAACTGACTAAGTGTCAGACACTTAAAGGGAGGAGTTATAAAGTCTGATGGCCAGAGGCAGGAATGACTTCCTGTGGTGTTCTGTGGTGCATTTTGGGGGGACAAGTCTTGCACTGAAAGTGCTCCTGTGTTTGAGCAGCACATCATGGAGTGGGTGGGAGACATTGTCCAATATGACATGTAGTGTGATATGACACCACCGACAGAGAGTCCAGCTCCACCCCCACAACGTCACTGTCCTTGCGGATCAGTTTGTTGAGTCTGTTAGAGTCTGCTACCCTCAACCTGCTGCCCCAGCATGCAACAGCAAACAGGATAGCACTGGCTAGACTCATAAAACATCCTCAGCATCGTCCTGCTGATGTTGAGGGACCTCAGCCTCCTCAGAAAATAGAGTCAGCTCTGGCCCTTCCTGTAGAGGGCTTGAGTGTTCTTGGCCCAGTCCAGTTTATTGTTAATCTGCACTCCCAGGTATTTGTAATCCTCCACAATGTCCACAGGGACCCCCTGGATGGAAACAGGGGTCACTGGAGCCTCGGCTCTCCTTAGATCCACAACCAGCTCTTTAATCTTGGTCACGTTTAGCTGCAGATGGTTCAGTTCACACCATGTGACAAAGTCCCCCACCACAGCTCTGTACTCAGCCTCGTCACCTTGATACATCGAACCACAGCAGAGTCATCAGAAAACTCCTGAAGGTGACAGGACTCTGTGTGGTAGTTGAAGTCTGGGTTTAGATGGTGAAGAGGAAGGGAGAGAGGGCCGTCCCCTGCGGGGCCCCGGTGTTGCTGACCACGCTGTCTGGCACACAGTGTTGCAGGCGCACATACTGTGGTCTGCCAGTCAGGTAGTCAACAATCCAGGACACGAGGGGGCATCCATCTGCATCGCTGTCAGCTTCTCACCCAGTAGGGCCGGCCGGGTGGTGTCGAAAGCACTGGAGAAGTCAAAAAACATGACCCTCACAGTGCTCGCCGGCTTGTCCAGGTGGGCGTAGATGTGGTTGAGCAGGAAGATGATGCCGTCCTCAACTCTCAGTTGGGGCTGGTAGGCGAACTGGAGTGGGTCCAGAAAAGGGCTGACCATGGGCTGCCGCTGATCCAGAACCAGTCTCTCCAGGGTCTTCATGATGTGGGAGGACTTCACGTAGCTGGGGGGCATAGGCTTTGAGCACCCCGGGACGGACACCGTCAGGGCCTGCAGCCTTGTTGGAGTGGAGTCTCCTCATCTGTCTTCTCACACAGACGTTACAGGTGGGGGAGGGGGAGAGACTGGTGTCAGACTGGTGAGAGCTGTTAACCTGAGAGCGGGGGGGTTGGTGTCTCACCGGAGGGTGGGGACAGTGAGGAGGAGGAGGGGGGAGTAGTCTGTAAATGGAGGACAATGTAGTCTATCCGAGTGGCGCTGCCATAATGTGACATCGCTGGCAGGCGCAGGACCCCGAGCAGGTATGACCATCCGAGCGCATCTGGTACCTACGTCATTCTTCTTGATAGAGCTCCTGTTACCCGCTCTAACCTATGCATATTTTAGCACACGGGCCCTATATCGCATAATAATAACGTGACAATTTCTTTCTATCAATCAAAACTTTGTCTTTTTTAATTTAACCAGTAGCACGGTGTTGGTCTAAAACTGACTTATTTATACAATATACTACAGCGCTGTGTTCAGACTGACAGCTTTTAAAAATACAATTTGATTTATTTGGAATACTCTTACTTAATAACTGAAAGACACACATCTGGACCGAACCGGCTAATGTGGTATACCCTCCTGCACCATCCAGGGAATGAAGATCGAGGGTGAATCCTGTATACCGTTCGCACGCATCCTTCTTCATATCTCATCTTCTTCCACCTCTTTTACGACGGGGCATCCAGTAAGGTCAGGGCGCGCCCGCTGATTGACATTTGGCATTTCTGTGTGTTTGCACTGCCGCCTCTGGTATTTGCTCTTCTAATAACAAAGTCAGGTAGAGGGCAGAAGCACGGGGGCAAAGACGTGCTGTCCTGCTTAACAAGCTAACGTGGCCTTTTACAGAGCTCCCATGAACGTCTGTGCAATGCAATATTCGCAGGGGTAATAATGGATATTAATCAGAAATATATATATGAATATGAGTTTGAAAGGAAAGGAATATTTAAAATAGATGGGAAACACGTGTAATGAAGCCGAATGTAATCGATCTCCTCACCTAA